CCCCCCCCCCCCCCCGCCACCCTGTTTTTGTGCAGACACTCAGTGGGCGACACCAAGGTCCCCTTCTGCCTGCAGTCGTGCGTGAAGCCTCTGGAGTACGCCATCGCGGTGCACGAGCTCGGCAGCGAGCTCGTGCACCGCTTCGTGGGCAAAGAGCCCAGCGGGTTCAAGTTCAACAAACTGTCGCTGAACGAAGAAGGCGAGTGAGAACGAAACACAAGCAAGCTTTAACTGCCAGGCCGTGTGTTTGCGTGGTCCGGAACATTCAGACACTTCCTGACATTTGTTTACACGTGTCCTTGTGTGTGAAGTAGCACCTCTGCTGTTGTTCCGCAGTGTGTCACTCATCCCTGTGAATTATTATGAATTATGGAGACAGGTTATCTCTGTCTGTCAGAACAGAACCGACCAAAACGGTCCATCAAACCAAGGAATCAAGGATTCAGCTTTAGATCCACAAATGTCTGTTCCCAGAATTGTCAGACCAATAATGCGAATTTAATATTTTTTTATGCTGACCTCATCCACATTTAAATGTTTAAAAACCTTTTTACAAATCTAAATTTTGGTTTCTAGCAAGCGTTTGTTCTCAGCAACAACATAATACTGTGGACAGACAAAAGGTTTATTAGAAACAAAAGGTTTTGCCAGTAAACTTTTACCCAGTCAATTTTATCACCTCACCTTTGGAGCTACATGCTGCTGGTGTTTGCTTTATTGACTAATGGTAAATAGAAGTGTGCCCCCCTTGGGAGAAATCCCTCTGCTGTCAAGAGTTTATTGCCTATATGGTTTTTATTTTTTGTTTTGTATGTTTTTGTGCAGATAAACCACACAACCCAATGGTGAACGCCGGAGCTATCGTCATCAGTTCTTTGATCAAGGTAAACAATAAAAACTAATCAGGCTTTGTTTAGACACAAAATCAAACGTCCTAGTGTAGGGCTATTCAACTGGCGGCCTGCGGGCCACTTCCAGCCTGCAGGTGGCTTCAATCAGGACTGCTGATGAGTTCTTTTTTTGTTTTTTGTAATTTTATTTAGAAAGGTTTTCAACACTTAGAACAAACATACATGGGACGCATGTCACTAGTACAAACCAAACTATATAAATCCAAAATTGTATTGTTCACGTAAAGTCAAAGCTTTTACATACTCAGTCCATTTGGTCCAGATCTTGTAAAACATGTCCTTTTTCATCTTGAAGGAAAAAGAGGACTTTTCCATGACGTATATTTTGTGTACAATGTTAATCCACCCCTCTATGGTTGTGGGTTTGAACCATTTTCTTTTGTCTTTCTTGCTTGCAACAAGTAACATAGCCAGCAGTCTTTATCAGTATTATTCCAATTTGCTGTAGGTACATCACACATTACACAAATACACATTAACGTGTTCACAAATCTGTGCCCAATAGTTAGAAACAACCTGACATCCCCAGAAAATATGAAAGTGATTAGCACCTGAATCCACTGCCTTGATGACGTTTCTGAGTAAAATATCTCTTCCAGCTAAACTCTGGCCATGTATTGGACCCTGTTATTGTCTATTGTAGTTGACTTAAATTGGCCCAACTTTCCATTGAATTAACCATATTGCCCTCCTTTTTTCTGTTTTATACTAGATGTTGTGACAGGACTATACAACTCAGTGAATGACTTCATTCAATGTAAAAGTGATTTATAATCAGAAACAAAAATTTAAGTAGACTGTATTATCTTTGAGCTGTTGGCTTTCAGTAACTGTGGCCCCCTGAGAAATGTTGAGTATTGCAGTCTCATTGGAACACTCATAGACATGTAGGCCTGTTCTTGTATTTAGCCTGTTTGAGATAAGCTGGCTTGAAACAACTGTATCATTTTCATTAAAAATGATGGACGGTTGGTATTTTTGGAGGTTTTTTTTTTTGAACTATAAAAGGACTAGAGAGAAAGATTCCATTTTAAAAGGTCATTAGCAGCTACAACAAATCTAAAGCCTGGCCGCCGGGTCACAGCTGGGCTGTGCTCATATGACGTGCTGGCAACATGTGATGTTTTATCTGAGCTTACTGTGACTCTGTGTTTCCTCAACAGAGTCTTTTAGTTTTTTTTTAGTTTTTCTGCTGAAAGTAGAGAAGGTCCTCTTATCAAATGTGGGTTGAGTTTAGCAGGAAGGAACACGCGTTACAAAAGGGGTGTTTGTGCTTTTGGCCAATTGCGGCTACCCGATCAGAGGTTTGTGTGCCACCTGACTCTGCGTGTGTGTAGATGTGGTCACACTGTTTGAACAGGCAGTTTAAATCACAAGGTCAAGCACTTATATGAGACAAAACTTAGTGTACAAAAAATAAATAAACAGGAACTGAGAGACAAAGTTTTATTAGCTCTGTTCTTATTCCCTGATGGAAATCGCTGCCTATAAAAATCTGAACATCTCCTTCAAAACACACCAGAGTGCACCGACGTAGAAACTACCTGAAAATCTATAAAAAAAAACTCAACAACTTTAATCTTATAGGTCCTCCCCTTGGCTCAAAGTAAATGGCTGATATTATCCGTTAGATGGAGTCATTAAACATGAATGTGAGCACTGTTCCTTTTTAGGAACTGCATGACTCTGTAAGGATCCTTTACCCGGCCGTGAAACTCAAGCACAGCCATGAGCAGTTCCTGATCCACACTGGGCACGTGTCCACATGGAGCGACACGCTCAGCTACAACGTGGACACGTCACACCATGACACACACACACCCTCACCCCCCATGTCTGCACTCAAAGTACTGAAACACTGCCCTCTGTAGGGACACACACACCCATCATACAGGTCAGATTAGAGATGATTCCTCTCTTCTCTTTTCACAGCCTCATTCCAATAAGGCAGAAAGATTTGACTTTGTAAGTAAACGCTTAAAGTGACACTTTTTAAAATTCAGTTTTCATTAGGTTTTCCTGTTGAACTGTTATTAAATAAAACGTTACAGATAATGGAGTTCTTGAAAAGTACAGCAGGTTCAGAGTACGTGGGGTTCAGCAATGCAACGTAAGAGTTCTGCTTTATTTAATGCAAAGTTCTCTTGATTCTTTTCACTTTAATAAAAAGCTGTTTTTTTTGTCATATCTGTTGTTTTACTGCAGTTTCCAGTCAGAGAGGGAGACTGGTGATAGGAATTATGCTATTGGTTATTACCTGAAAGAGAAAAAGGTTTGTGTTGTTGTTCCCCCTGTATTTTAACTGATTCACCATCAGGTTTTCTATTCAACATTAAAACACTGAGGTGTGCTGACACTGACTAATCCTTACAGTGCTTTCCTGACAACGCAGATATGACAGCAGCCCTTGACTTTTACTTTCAGGTAAGTTTGTCAGTCTCATCAGTTTTAGCCAGATAGAAATTATATTTATGATGAAATACATGTGTAGTATTCAGACAATAAGTCTGATACTGCATTCACTTTTTGTCTTAAAATATACAGAAAATTCCTTACATGTCATTTGAATTTGTCATTATTATTTAACTGCTAACTAAGCCAAATGAGAAGTTTGTAATTAACATCATGTTGGTGTTATTACTGGGAGCATGTTAACATGCTAATAGTAGAAATAAGTAACAAAACCTGTTTAACACCAGATTTTAATAGTATCTCTATGGATTCTGCAGAGTCAGCATGCTTTTTAACTTATTGTTCATCTTGTTTTCCAGTCATTTCTCTCAATAATATGATTTACAATCAAGCTGATCACCTGTTCCCCCCACAAAATATCAAAAACAGATTTCAGTAGTCTTGTCAGTACTAATAGTACTGTTAGCAACAAGCTGCTTAAAAAGCAGTGGAGCATTTATCAGCTAGAATAGTTACGAAGAAACTGTGAAAGGGCTTGCCACCTGGCATCCATTTTAATTTTACAGTTCGACTTTAATATTTGTGCATCACTGTCATCTACCAACTTCCCAGATTTCAGACGAATATTTCTAAAAATTTTCGACATACGGTCAATTTTACGTTTTACTCCATGTTTTTTTTAGACTCAGTATGTGATGGAGATTGTTCTCAGCTACCACCGCACAAAATTTCAGCCCAGTTTGTATTAAAATAGTCAGTTTATTGCAGTTTCAAATTAGTCATGGCGGCCATCTTGAATTTTAATTTAGCATTCAGAATTTGTCAAAGCTTGTTCTCGGCTACTACAGCACCAGTTTTCAGATTTGTAAGTCTAAAAACTGTCTGAAATTAGCATTAGTGGTTAGCTTAAACTTGTGACTAGCATTCAGAGTGAAGCTCTTATTCGTTTGACCCTAATTAACTGCTACAGTTTTGTTCTTAGCGTTAAAAAGAAAAGAAAAGTCAGGAAAAAGAGCAGCATTTATCTGAGCATCTGTTTCCAGGAGTAGCCGTTATTTCTTTCACCAGCTGTTTATCTGTTTTGTTTCAGATTTTGGGGAAATTTTGAAAAAGCGTTTTAAACATTTCCACCCAAAGTTGCTTCCTGTTAGACTTTCTTAGCAACCAGCTCCCTTCATGTGAGGAATTAAAAAAATACCAGGAAGTTATTACAGGGAAAAAGAAAACTGATTTACTGATAGGTAACAGGATTTATTTTGGTTTGCAAGAGAAACTTGTAAAAGTCTTTATGTCTCCTCGCTCCAGCTGTGCTCCATCGAGGTGAACTGTGAGTCAGGAAGTGTCATGGCCGCCACGCTGGCCAACGGAGGCATCTGCCCAATCACAGGTGACCGTGTGTTGAGCGCTGAAGCCGTTCGTAATACGTTGAGTCTCATGCACTCCTGTGGGATGTACGACTTCTCAGGGCAGTTTGCCTTCCACGTGAGTGCCTGTTTGAGTTCAGCTACATTTTGAAGACTTGGTGGCCCTGTAGGACACTAATGAGTCACGAGATCCTTTTTTCAGGCGTCCTGTTTTGGTTTTCTGTTTTTTAGGTGGGCTTGCCAGCAAAATCTGGAGTCTCAGGCGCTGTGCTGCTGGTGGTTCCAAACGTCATGGGCTTGATGTGTTGGTCTCCTTCGTTAGATCGGCTAGGAAACAGTGTTCGAGGCATTCACTTCTGTCAGGTATAACCTACACAGCCTTTATTTAGTCCTGTGTGACAAACATAAAACACAAGACGCTCTGTATGTAATAGAACCTATATTAATTACTATTCATCATTTGGTCCAAAAGGAGCTTGTTTCTTACTTCAACTTCCACAACTATGACAACTTGAGGCATTTCACCAAAAAACACGACCCCAGGAGACGGTCGGACGATGATCCAGTGAGTCTAAGTTCTTGTTTTTGTGTTGGAAAAAACTAAACAGTATGCAAAGATCTAAAACCACACAGTTTGAATGAACTAATGAGCATTTCTTTGACAGAACCTGATTTTTTTAATGCTGCCTTTCATTTTATTTGATTTGTATTGTTTTGTTGTATGGAAAGTGTTTTTTGTTTTTTAAATTAAACGAATAAATACTACAGTGTGTGTGTGTGTGTATATATATGCGTGTGCTTGTTTCTACTACAGAGTGAGGAACATTTGCGCCATAGTT